CTGGCCCCCGTCCCGCTCAGCGATCGCCCATTCGGGCGCCCCCGCCCTGCCTGGCCCCTGCAGGGAGGGGCTGCCGCCGCCGCGCGTTCGCCAGGCCTGGCGTGGTCGCGGCCCCAAGAGTGGCGTAAGGGTCCCCTGGACCCCGAAACCACCTGATCGGCTCATGGGCCTGGCGGCGGTGGGGCATCGGCGGCCCTTCCTGCCCTCCCTCCCGGGTTCACCCCAGCTCTGTTCCGGACCCATCTAAACAACTTCTGGACTCCCAGGTAGGGAGGCGGCCCCTCAGCACCCCAGTTATCCTCGAACGCCCTGCGGTGTCGAAATAGCTGCCCGTGCTGGGTTCCCTCCCCTGCCTTGAGGTGCACCCGCTCAGACTCTCCTGGGCCCTCAAGCAGAACTGGTGTGGGATCTGGGCCAACCCCTCTTGCAGTGACTCTAAGCCGCCAGTCCCACCGGGAGGATGGGGCGTGGACTGGGTGGCCCTCAGCCTTTCCCTTCTAAACTGGTTCGCACCACCTGGTGGCTTCAGTCCTGGCGCCTTCATTCTTGCCCCTCCGCTTTGCTTCTCCTACCCTCCTCTGGTTTTCCTGCCTCCCTCTTCAGCGCTGAGACCCAAGGCTGGACCAAGGCCTCAGTGGTAAGTGACCCAAACTCCGAGCCAGCAGAGGCCATGTCATCCTGGGGTGGGGTGAGGGAGACTTTCCCAGGAATGAGCTTTTTGCTCAAGCTGCCCTCCACCCCTCCACCCTCCACTTCCCCCTCTCTCCAAGTGCAGATGGAGGGAGGCAATGGCCAAAGACTGATGGGATCTAGAGAGGCAGGGGCCTCTTCCAGGACGGGGACACTACAGAGCATAAGGCAACTGACAGTAAGTTGCCCCAGTTCTAGCACCCTTGTCCCCTAGACACTCAGAGGCCCGCTGGGAGTTTGAGCTCTGGTGGGGGCACGCGTGGCGTGGGGAGTAGCCCCTGGACTCTGAGCAGAGCCTCGCAGATGTAACCCGGCAGCTCCAGGAGCTCAAACTCAGCGGACATGTGGCTCCATCTGACTCATTCCTGCTGCAGCTTCCCTGGAGAGCAGGGACCTGCTTCCCCCGGGGCCCCATCTTATCACCACAGGGAAGGTGGGGCAGGCCAGGTAGCCACATCAGCCTGTTCCCAACGGTGGCCGACATCAACCCCTGGGACCTTGGGACCAGTGGTCACCCACTGTCTGCGCCACTTTGCCAGCCGCTTTGCCAACCTGACAGATGACACTCTGACCTCCTAACCTGCTCTCCAAAGGCCTCCAGGATCTGGCCCGAAACAAGGTTTCCCAACAGCCCTGTTCTCATCCAGCCTGTGTCCTCATCATCCCTGGGAACCTTTTGGGAGATTTCCTCCCTGCTGTGGTATCACTGCAGCCCTTCTCCGGCTGCATCTCGAAGGCAGTGGGGAGCAGGCTAGTGGTGGCAGGTCTAGGGTGGCTCTCCTGAATCCCTTGACACCAGGACATTTCTGCGGAGAGGACGAGCCCAGAGAAATCAGCAAGTAAGGGCAGGCTGAACAGGAACGTCTATCTGTAGGTAGTCCCTCTGGGAGCAGGGACCGCCAAATGGCCCTGGAGGGCCAGCACTAGGCATTGCCACTCCATTCCCGAGTGGGGGCTTCCAAATCCCCATGCTGGACGAGCAACCGCTCGCCCTCACCAGCCGCTTCTGTGTCCCTTACCTCCTCAGGGGGAGCCCTGCCATCCAGGACCAGGACCTGTCCACGGATGCTTCTCAGGACAACCCAACAGCACCAGTGGGGGTGCACTCCTAAGCCGCAGAGGGCCAGGGCGCAGCATCACCCCTTCGGGAAGAGCCATGGTGTCACCAAGGGCAAGGGGCAGCTCCCAGCGGTGGCCTGGCCAGGGAGTGGGGGGTGGTCACACAGGCCCCCTGGGTATGCTCAGAGCTGTCCTGATGCTCATCAGCCTGGCACCGGGGGGCCGAGGGATGGCCAGCGCCGACATCAGCACCACTCCCAGCCACGCTGTGCCGCTGACAAGGGGCCCCTATTTGAGCATCGGAGACGGCTCTGTGATGGAGTTTGAGTTCCCTGAGGAGAGTGACGGCATCATCGTGATCTCGAGCCAGTACCCAGGCCAGGCCAACAGGACGGGGTCTGGTCCCACCCTGAGGGTCTGGTCCCTGGACACAGAGGTACTGACCATCCAGAACGTGAGTGCCATAACCTGGGGCGGTGGGGGCGGCTTCGAGGTGAGCATCCACTCAGGCCTGGCTGGGCTGGCCCCCCTCCACATCCAGCTCATGGACCCCCGCGAGGCCCCGCCCATGCTGATCGAGGAGCGGAGAGACTTCTGCATCAGGGTCTCGCCATCCGAAGACGCCCCTGCCACCCTCAGCGCCCACCTGGCCCACTTCTCGGAGAACCCCATCCTCTACCTGCTCCTGCCTCTGCTCTTCGTCAACAAGTGTTCGTTCGGGTGCAAAGTGGAGCTGGAGGTTCTGAAGGGGCTCGTGCAGAGCCCTCAGCCCATGCTGCTAGGCCTCCTGGGCCAGTTTCTGGTCATGCCCTTCTATGCTTTCCTGATGGCCAAGGTCTTCATGCTGCCCAAGGCCCTGGCCCTGGGCCTCATCATCACCTGCTCGTCGCCTGGCGGCGGGGGGAGCTACTTCTTCAGCCTCCTTCTCGGGGGGGACGTCACCCTGGCCATCTCTATGACTTTCATCTCCACGGTGGCTGCCACCGGCTTCCTGCCACTGTCTTCAGCCGTCTACAGCCGCCTGCTCAGCATCCACGAGACCCTGCACGTGCCCGTCTCCAAGATCCTGGGGACCCTGCTGTTCATCGCCATCCCCATCGCGGCGGGTGTGCTCATCAAGTCCCGGCTCCCCAGGCTCTCACAGCTGCTGCTGCAGGTCATCAAGCCCTTCAGCTTTGTGCTCCTCCTGGGCGGCCTCTTCCTGGCCTACCGCATGGGGGTCTTCATTCTGGTGGGCGTCAGGCTGCCCATCGTGCTGGTGGGCCTCACGGTGCCCCTGGTCGGCCTCCTGGTGGGCCACTGCCTGGCCACGTGCCTGAAGCTGCCAGTGAGCCAGCGGCGGACAGTCAGCATCGAGGTAGGGGTGCAAAACAGCCTGCTGGCCTTGGCCATGCTGCAGCTGTCCCTCCGCCGCCTGCAAGCAGACTATGCCTCCCAGGCCCCCTTCATCGTGGCGCTGAGTGGCACCTCCGAGATGCTGGCCTTGGTCGTCGGCCACTTCGTCTACAGCAGCCTGTTCCCAGTTCCCTGAGGCCTCTGGGTCAAGCTTTCATCACCTCCAGCCCCTACACTCCACCTACTGTCCCCACAGTTGTTGTGTACCAAAGGCCTTTAGTTCTCATGCACTATGCACTCAGAAAAATCCAGGCTTATTTTTTTTACTGATTTTTTATTCTCCAGCTTTCCGTGCCAAAGAGGCCATGCTGAGTTAAGTAGGTGGGCACTGCCCAGAAAATACATTTCAATAAAAGAGAGAAGCAAGCTTGGGTCCCTTCCAATCTTTGCCCTTCAGGGCCTGGGAGCGGCGAGTAGAAGACTGTGACTGGGAAGGCGTGGGCCAGGGTGAACGACAAGTTGGGGTGACACGGTGACCCCTGCACAGGCTTTCGCGGCCAGTCCTCCCCGCATGTCCCCTCCGTGTGAGAGGCGGGCTTCTCTGTTCCAGAATGAGCCCTGGGAGGATGAGGGCAGAGACCTGGCTTCCCTGCCTGCTCCCAGGCTCAGTGGTGGTTTTGGCAACCAGACTAGAAAGGAGGGAGCAGAAAGCCATCGGGCAGCGGGGCAAGCTTGGCAGGGCCGGGCCACCTGGCGTCACTGAGACAGGAAGGGGATCGCATCGACCCGCTCCACCAACAGGCTGGAAACCCAGGGCGGACCGGCCGGCCCGCCGGCCGTCGGCGAGCGCACTTTCTGCCCTTCCTTCCCCGTGCCCCGGCTCCCGACGGAGCAAACCTGGCGCCGCTCACCCCTCCCCGCGAACGCGCGGGCGGGCCAGGCCACCTTCCGCGCCTTG